TTGCCTTCTACGTATAAAAGATTCCTCCCATTGAGTTGGCTGCATTGTCATGGTGTTGCAACACTGTTATTACTTTTATAAAGTGTATACAAATCAACGAGACGTCGATCGTATTTTATATTTATTACTCGCAAATCATATAATAGCGCAGAATTTTTCTGCTCAATTTGAAAAAGAGAAAGTAAAAAATGTTACATAAATAACAAATTAATGCATCACAGTACGAAGTAAATTTACCTATAAATATGATAATTAAATATACCAATTTCTCCTTTAGAAATATTTATCGCTCTTTCTTGTTATGCTCTACTTGGTGCAGCGTATGTGTTTATGAAGATTTACTGTTTATTACGTACAACTTCACACGCTTGATTTAAATGGTGTCTTAAAAAACTTCAATAACTTGGGATTACTCCTCTAGAGTGATAAGTTTCCCAACTTCCTCCAACGTCTATAATAAGTTTAGAAATTTGTTGTAATTTCTCTTTAAAGCACGTCTTGCTTAACTAAATCCACAGTGCGGACACGATTTTCTGTTGAAACACTACCGATATTAAGAGCGAATGTTATTTTTAAATGTTAAGGTAATTCAGACCAGTCTTAGTGCAAAATAACGATGTAATTCGCTGAATTATTTAATTCCTGTTTTTATACAGACGTATCCTTGAATTTGACGTTATTGATTTAGATTTATTTCGCAAATGCACTAATTAATTATTTAAAGATTACACTTTCCGCAATTTGTTTATCCTTTTAGATACCTTGTAGTTTTTGAAGGCAATCCATAGTTAAGGTGAATCATACTGTTTTGATGATAAACAACAGTAAATAAATTCTTGATTTGCTTCAGCTGCTTGACAGCTGATAAACTTTTAACTGTGAGTACTGACAGCAGATGTTGCACTTCTGAGCGAGTAAAAGTGGATTTCGAAAAACATTTACACGTTCTTATTTATGGGCGTACTTTGTATTAAACGGTAAATGTATTAAAATTATATTAAAATTCTTTTTAAAAATGTTTTACACATTGCAACTGGCGAATCTTTGGTCTAATAATTTAACATGTCATGCAAGATTTTAAGATTAAGATATGTAATTATCTTGAAAATTTAATGTTTTTTATCTAAACAATGTTATACTAGAGTTTTTTTTAATAAAGACAATGTTTACGCTTTTTTGAAACACTTGTAGAATTTTATAATTTGATTTTCGTTTGTTTCCTGCATATATTGTCATACATATTATTCAAGATATCTAAAATAAAATCAGATTCTGTGGAAACATATTAATCGCTACTAATAACTCAAATAATTAAAACACAACTTAATTAAATACATTCTAAAAATTTTGTGATTTTTTTATGTCAAAGTTCCTTCGCTATAACTTGACTGACTTGAGAGTAACCGAAAATTAACACTGCCTTTAGGTTTTTACCACCTTCTGTTGTCGAATATAAAACTAGTGCTTGCTCTATTTTAGTACCTCCACGAAAAACAAGGAAATAAGTAGAAATGACACGTAGTGAAAGTGATACGTTTAAGAATAATGTAGGGGTTTCACTTGTTCATAGTAAAACAATGTTGTAAATACTAGATAGACATGTCTTTAACAACAATCTCAAATTAATCGATCTGCTTAGAATACGTTCTAATAGAGTAACATGTTGAAAGCGAATAATGATAGAGTAGGTATATGAAATAAAACATAAAATGATATATTTTTAAAATTAGCAGATCGGGTCACGAGACTGATTGCAAACTGGTTATAGATATTTTTATGTGAAAACTGGTGCACATTAATGGTTTTGTAACAAATGTCAAAAAGCTGCAAGAAATAAAAAATAATAACGTCAAGTGCCCTTGTGACTAAATCAGTGATTAGAAACACTACTTTCACCGTGTTTCGTCTGATTTGGAATTGTATCAATATTCAGACCACGTAATTTGTATACCAAAATGTGTCCATAGGACAAACGTGTGTAGTGAAAGTGATAAAAATATTATGTATGAATCTATGTCTGAGTAAAATTTTTAAATAAGTGATTAATTAGCAATGAGCATGAAAACATAGTTGTGGGATATTATGTTACACAATAGGACAAAACGATTACACAATGCTCGTCAATTATAATGTTATTATTATTATATTAGCTAATTACGATACTTTAAGGTTGTTGTATTGTTCACTTCTCTCATTAAGAAACTTGAACTTCCAGTGCCTCACCAAGGTATTTTTCAGCAAATTAAAAGCTTTTTTAATTTAAATTTTAAATACAATTTAATTAATAAGTAATATTATTTTTTAATGACTGTGTTCTACACTGTCATTAACACTTATTTTAAGATGCTGTGTGAAATTGGTGTCACTATTAACCTAGTATTTTTTTTTGCATTTTACACTTTTTGTACATTATTATTTTATTTTATTATTCTTGTCACGACATTACATTAGTTTAGGATATTTCAATTAAAATCCCATTCACGAACTCAGACTTTTCCACCCGGATTTTAACAATAGGAACGTGTACTAGAATGAAGGGTATAAAGGTTGGCAAATCTTTGATAAGTAGAAAGTTGCATCAAACCGAATATTTCATAAATTTATTGGTTCAATTAGTTTGCACTGTTTCTAAATTTTTGTGGGGGAGTTGCGATATTGTTTAAAATCAATCGCTTTCTCTTTACTATTATTTACATTTTATTTAGATTCATGAAAAAAACAGGGAAATGAATTACGGTGAAATTTAAAGTATCGGAAATTAATTTTATGTGATCAATCGATATTTTAAGGATTTTAGAAAAAAACTACCTGAAAACTTCGCTACTGAGTCTATTAATCAATCATAAGTATTATAACATTTTTGTTATGAATAATTTATTTAATTTCTAGAAATTGTTCTGTACAGAGAGTCCCAGTTTTAGTGATGGTGCAAAAATAAATATTTCTAATTAATTAAAAAAGAACTTTGATATTGTAAACGATAGAGGATTATTAAATAAATATTGTGATATTTTGATATTGTACAAAATTTGTACTTAACAATAGACATTAGTTGATATGATTTAAATTTAGAAAGATAATTTTTTATTTGAATTTGTTTTAACATGAAGCAATTTTTCATATTGAAACTTATTAAAATTTATTAGATTTATTTATCGGTGATCGTTCAAGAGGTAAATAATCATTCGGTTATAATAATAATTAAACCGAGCGGAATAATTGCTTTTCACTTTGTTTGGAAGTCACTGTGTAAAACGTTTGTAAATAGAATAAAATGTTTGTATTAATAATGACGGAAAAGTAGAATAAACAAAAATAATGAGTGTTGCAAACATGCACGTGGATAACGGTTTAGCCATGCACAAAGGAGTTGTAGGTATCTGCTTGAATAAGAGTTTATAAGGAAGAAGCAAAATTATTTTTTTGATTGAGCAAAATTTTATCAATTTCAGATTGTCTCAAACAATTAATAGAAAGTATAATATTAGATAATATGTCGTGAGAAATATCTGTGGAGTAACTAACTGATGGGAAATCATCTTCAATAAATATCGCATTATGCAACGGTTTTGTATTTTTTTGCAATTGCCTGGGTCAAAATTACTAACTGGCACAGACATACATACATATTTGTGCCTCAAAAATAAAGTGAGGCAATCTTATTGAAAGTAAATTATAAGTGTATTAATTATGCATATGGGTCAGTTTGTTTCAGTAGTTAAAAGAAAAACACGTAGATCTAAAAATTCTACATGAATTTCTAAGTCTTAATAGTTATAAATTAGTATATTTAGATGTAGAATATAAATAGTTAATGATTAAATAGGAATATAAACATTATAAGACTTCGTGTGCCTCAGGCGTATTGTTACCTAACCAAGATCCATAGCTATGCGAAAGGTCAGGCATATAACATGTTGTTGGATGTCACATCGTTGACGCACCGAGCAATTATTAAAGAGTGCGTTTTCGTTAATGACGCACTGACATTTAGCAAAATATAAAGTTTTGACACTCCACTAGTTACAAAATTTTATGATTGTAAAAATGTGAAACACTTTCACTAATGAAAACCTATTTGATTTTCTTTATCTTGAACAAAAGCAGATACTTTCATTATCAACCTTTCCCTTTCAAACTTGATGAAAAAGGTTTTGAGACTCTTACAAATTATTATTGCACCCTTTCAGTTTAAATCTTTAATCGCGATAAAAATCTTAATAAAATTCGGGTCTACTTATAGCTTACATAATTATAGGCGCTATGGAAACTCGTTTATGCAAACTTGTCAACTGTACTCTTTTTTCCTTGTTTTAATCATTTCTTATTCATTTATAATTAGTGGTTTGGAACCGCTTTCACATTTGTTTGGTTTTTGAGTGCATAGTGTTTTGTAAGTTATCCTTTACGTATTCTCAGTTATTCCTTATTGCCTAAAGGATGCTTAAATGTCAGGGACTCTTTGAAGCTAGGACCTCACGGTCATCCAGTTTGCAAAAAGTGATTTCATCACGATTGACACTTCATACTTTTCATGTGTATGTATTGAATTTTGATAAACAATTTATCTTTGATCGATATTTACTGTACCTATAATCTCCTGAATGTTGCTTATCCTTGACATATAATTAAGAGTCTATATAAGAGTGGCCTTGCTTTCTAGTGCACAAAGACTAGGTGAATAAGGGTAGATTGTTTAAAAAAAATCTAAGGTATAGAATCTAAAGACTTGGAAAGGTTACACATTTAGTTTCACTTCACACTAAATAAGGTTGAGTAGCCTTAAGCGTTTTCGCTGTCCATTTGATAGCATGTGTGATACAACATACAATATAGCATCAGCTGTTTAGATTCCCCAGAAACCTCATTTGAAAAAGAGAGTCGTGAATGAATGATTTTGAACCGCGTGCAACAATGTATGTGTGCACAAGAATCAAAATACTCATACATTGGGCTGGGAAAAATTTTTGATTGCATTTTTTGAAAAACTCGAGACTTACCAAAGGAAGCCAGTAGAAGTGTAACAATGGCAAAAAGTGTAACCATTTCCATAAAAGTGCACTTATAATAATCCAGTTGAAATGTCACACGCAGGAGCTAAAAACACTTCCCCATGTAGATACCGGAACGAAAATTCTCCCCAAATGTGACGGCGAGTACGCGCAACAAGCGAACTTATCGCAACACGTGCTCGAACTGACTGGGTCGCTATTGAATCAAAAAGTTGTTCTTAAGTGAAACGTTTCAGTGGGGGCTTGAGAGAAAACTAATTCCCCACCGGATCGTATTTTCCCTTCACAATAGAGCATTCACTTCGCAAAATGCCGAAGACCTTGCAAACCGCCCTCGCTTAAACCACTTCAGATATGATATCCGTGCGAGGGCCCGGATTCTGCCGTCGCCGTCATCACCCCGGATCAGCACCAGAAACGGAATCACAACAAATGCTCTTATGAAATTATTATTTCTTAAATTTGATATACCTACAACCTACCCACTTATATGCATATGCTAGAGGTTTTGTAAACAGTTGACGCAGCTTCTCTTTTGCCAAAGATATACAGGTTGCGCCAGAACTCGCGCCCCAGAGAAAAATGCCATGTAAGGTAAGATACCAGGAACATGGAAAAAATGTTAAAAAAATTCTAACTAGAAAAATTTCGAAGTTATGAGAGTTTAAATTTTGCACTTTGACTCAATTTATTTCCGTTGGAAAAATAATTTTCCAAGTTTTTTGCTACAGGTTATTAGAAGAGGAAACAAGAAAGCTGTATCCTAAATTGTAACTCTGTTTAATGTTATTTGTGGCTTTTATTGACAAAATTTTTGTACCTTTACTAAATAATAATAAAAAACATATACAAGAACATCAGTATTATTAAATAGACATAAAAATGTCAAATCTCAAAAAATAAATGTCAAATTTTTTTGACAGATTAAATTTTTTAAACTTTTTTTCCCTGTCCCTGCTATCTTATGTTCTCTGGGGCGCGAGTTCTGACACACCCTGTATAATTATGCTTATTTAACGAAAATTTAAAATTACATTTTTTTATCAAGTTATGATTAGTATACGAAAAAATAATATAATAATAATAATCATAAATAAGCGATTCTAAGCTAAAGGTTTTTTGTTAACTAGTAATCAGATGCGGTTTTAGCACATATCCAAAATTTTATGGAAAATCACTATAATTTGAAGTTGTCACCAAATAAATTTTTGTAACTAAAATAAACAAATAATCACCGTTACTCATGTCCAATAAATCTGTTCTATGTTTGAAAAATAACTATGTTTTCAATAGTAGATTTGTCACAATTAGTATTTGACCAAAAAATTATCATATAGGTTATTATAAAAATTGCAGAACTCAAAAAATTAGATTTTTGAATTATTTTCTAAAATTTCATTTCGGAAAGTGTATAATTTAAGCAAAAACGCTTGGTCCCATATTTTTTGTTTTAGTAACACAATTTTAGAGCGTTGATTGTACACGCAAGTAGGTGATACTTAATAAGTAACGTTAAAGAAATTTCACAAGAGCCTTTTTCCTCAATTATTTAAAAACTAGTACTTAAATTGGTTTATTAAGAAAGTCTCAGTTTCTGCTTGAGTTTCTTTCTTTAATTCATTATGACTATAGTTGACAAAAAACTGATAATGTTTATTAGGATATACCAGAGTGATACAATATTACTTTTGTTTGTGCTGATATTTTTAATTAATGAGTTTTGTATTCTAGAAATTTTAAAATAAAAATTTACTTGTACCATGAGTGTACTTTTTTATGTTGTCATGTGAAATAGGCAGCACTTTAGGCACTATCTATCATCTTCATTCTTACATTTGCTATATCAATTTTAAACTTTATTCTTATTTAACCCAAATAAAGTTTGCAATAATTAAATGCAATAATTTAAATAAATCAATTTTCTAATTACATGTGTTACAGAAGAAATAATTAATGTAGAATCTAGAACACTGACCCTTTTCCAATTAAACGTGTCGTCATTTAAATACATGCACCACTATGTCGAAAAATTTTTAAATTGTTTTGAAGTGATTATTTTTAATAATAATAATAATTGTATTTACAGACCCCCAGACTGATGGTTTAGATTCTTACAGAAAAATCCAGTAATTTCAGATTTTTAACCAAAATAATTTTTTGTACATATGCATTCATAAAAATTTGTATAAACAATATTTTTCATTGAAATTAGTTTAGTGTGTTTCTGTATTTTTTGAAGGCGATGACATTTTTGGACAAATATGTTGCTCAAATCCTTCACTGTTAATTATTGTTGAATTGATGTTTCTTATATATTTTTTGTACAAACAATTTTACACTAAATTTTTGATTTTTCACACCAAAGCACTTATAATTAAAATTGATTGGGTATGTTATTAAAAAACATAATAATACGCTATCCGTTAAATGATTTTCTTTTTAATTGGCCTGAAATAAGTATTTAAAAAAAAACGTTTTTAAAGACATATTCACATGGTACCTTAAAGCTAAAAATTGTAATTATTCTTGACTTTTTATGGTGAAAACTAATTGAAATATTTTTCTGCAAACCAGCCGTAATTTAATAGAACTTTTCATTGAAACCAGTCTGAAAAATCTTTTAAAATTTGGTGGTCTACGAAAAAAACAGTAAATTACATTGCGTGGTAATAAGATATTTAGCTGAAGATTGAAATGTAAGAAAAAAGAAATGAACCACACTGAATATGTGCTACAAAGCTTGTAGCCGCACAGAATATAAAAGGGAATCTCATTTAGTCAAATTACTTTGACACGATTCAATTAATGAGAAATTTCTTCAAACAGGATACGACTGAATGTCAGTTAGGAAGAAAGAATGAAAGTATAGTAAGTAACAATAGAATATTTTGGAAGCGATAATATCACACGATAGGATTATTTGAAAATATCAAACATAATAGTTCAAGGGAAACAGGTCACCAAAAAAAAGTTAATAAGAAAATTAGCAAGGAACTGTCGTAGAAGGAAGTTCTACCAAATTTACTGGATATAATTTATTTCAGCTAAATAACCACATGATCAGGATTATTACATGGAATGGTTGGTTTTTGCAGTAAACGATGTATACCTACATATATTAATTAATCTCGTGACTACGCAACCGATAATACGTTATATGAGTGGTTCTCAGTCGTAAAATTCCGAAATTGTTAATCTTGTAATAACTCTCTTATAAGAATGCAAATAGAAGGATGCCTCTTTCACCATTGTATTCCGTATTTTTAACAGAGAATGCGTTGAACTGATGTTTGGATAAAAAATGTCAGAAAATATTAAATTTGAAAAAAGGAAACTTTTTTTTTTTAATTATGGAATTTAACATGTAAGTACCGAATTATTTATTAGCCACTATTATTCAGTTTGAGTTGTCATTTATTTGTCGGAAAACAAATTCAAGTTTTGACCATTTAAGTTATAGAAAAGCAAATGAGAAATATTTATATTTATTATGTATGTATGAATTCATACTAATGATGTGCCAATGACATTTAATGAAAAGATAATTATCTAAATGAGAGTTAATCGACTACTGGTTTTAAGTATTAACTACATTCTTTTCAAAATAATGTAATTTTTTTTTAATATTTTGTTATCTATTACTGCCATTTGAAAAATGTGAAGGGGAAAGTGACATTTTGAAGATTATTAAGCTATTATGGAAAGAGTAATAAATACACTTCGTTATTTTTGTCGAAATGAAGAATTGACTTCAAATTTTTCCATATACAATATACAAAAGTAATACCTGACGAGAGATTTAAAAAACGTATACAGGGTGCGCCAGAACTCGCGCCCCAGAGAAAAATGCCATATAAGGTAAGATATCAAGAATATGAAAAAATTGTTAAAAAAAATTATTTATAAAAAGCTATGAGAGTTTAAATTTTGCACTTTGACTCTATTTCTGTTGGAAAAATGATTTTCCAAGTTTTTTTGCTACAGGCTATTAGAAGAGGAAACAAGGAAACTGTATTCTAAATTGTAACTCTGTTCAATGTTATTTGTGGCTTTTATTGGCAAAAATTTTGTACCTTTACTAAATGATTGTAAAAAAACATATACAAGATCATCAGTATCATTAAATAGACACAAAAAAATGTCAAATGTCAAAAAATAGATGTCAAAATTTTTTGACAGATAGAATTTTTTAAACATTTTTTCCATGTTCGTGGTATCTTATCTTACTTGAAATTTTTCTTATATATATCTTTGATTTCATTTACACATAAGATGACCCTGAGCATAGTTAATTAGAAGAAACTAAGGCATATTCAGAAAAGTCATTACACAGGCTTTCTACTTTTAATGTTATCGATTTAGCGTTTTCTCAAAAAAAAGTAGAAATTAGTTTATTTGGGAAAATGTATTTGCTAGTAAACAAGTATAGTTACTTTGTTGAGCAAAATTGTTATGTTTATGTAATGTTAAATATTCAAGTGCTTTTAGAGCATTTAACAGGTAAGACATGAATTTTAAATTACTAATTTCTTAATACAATTATTATTTATAAATATTTATATTTCTACTTATTCGCGGTCTGCGACGTAAGTTTGCACTAATAAAACCTTTAAAGATATCTAGTTACCTATTAGGGGTATAATTTTGGAAATTAAGCAAAAGCAATTCATTATCTGATTGGTATTGTCGCTATTACATAACTCAAGATAATAAGAATCTCAGTAAAGAAACTAAAAGCGGATGCTTCCAACAGAGAGAAGGTGCGGGGGTTCTTCAATCTTGATTTTAAATAATTAGCTAAAGTCAGATAATGGTTATATTGTTATTGTCAATTAGTAGAGTACTTTGTTGATATTTATAGATTGTATAGATGTTTTAGTTTGATGTCTTTATGAAGATAGTTATGATATTTCGTAACAGTACATTGTAGCAATCACCTATGACCTCGTTGAGAACCCCAGCGGATTAATAGATACCTATATTCGCAGTACCTATAGAAAATAAAACAACACTGGATATTCAGATAAGAAAGAAATCGCAACGTCCGTTGAGAAGCCCGGGAAACGGATCTCCTCACGGTCAAGCAGCCTTGAAAATTAACAGTACAGAAAATAATGGCAGATTTAAAAATCCCTCGAAAAGAAAGTTGTTTGCAATGAAAACTATTTCCAAAAGTAGTTTAAGATAATCTAGAACCGCTGGAGTTTTAATTAAAGTAAGGCAAATTGACACCTTCATTCGCTTAGTTGTTTAATGCAATAGTTCATAGAGAAATTGCACAACATCAATCACTGTAAGTGAACGCGTTTCTAGCCAAAACTATAACTCCGATCGATTCCGGGATTTCACTATCAAATTTATAAGCAGATTTAAAAAATAATTAAGAAATCGACCAACGAATTTTTAGGGACTCGGAAAAATGCATAAAACTGTCAATCAATCGGTTAAAATGCTTTATGGGCAAGTGGTTTTCAAAGTAACACTTTAAAAAGTTTACAGGTAAGACTTAAAAATGGAAAAATAACACAGTAGAATTAACTTTATTCATTTTTCTCCATATTTACATCAATATAATTATATTTGTAATTCGGTGTGATAGAATGAATTCCACTAATATAATAAATAAAAACAATCTAGAAGTATGCTTGAAACCGATGCTGTTATACGTGTATGGTAAATTCTCTTCGTTCTTGTTCTTTTCTTTTTTGATATCTAATGACAAAATAAATAAATTTTCCAAAAATCACACATTTTTAAAACTAGTACCTAGCTAATAGAATCGTTAAATCATTGGAGAGTTTAGTTGTCATGTTGATGTCTCTGTCGCATTCAGCTTCGCTCATTTCTCTACTATCCGAAAATCCAGTTGGGGGTTGCAACCTCATATCTTCCGGCGATGCATCTTCGCAGTCTTCCACACTAAAATACCCTAATCAATGACAACCCTAAACCAAACATAAAAATTTTCCACATATGCACACATAAAGCGTTTTTTGGTTCAGCCACATACGCAGTGAAAGGTTAAGATACCTTGGCTACCTGCTGGAACTTGAAGGACGGTGTTGTCGCCGTTGAACCCCTACATGACGAGGAGTGTGTCGACGTTCGGCTAAGGGAGAAACGTCGTTAGATTCAGTACTAGAATCAGGGCGAAACAAATCTGCAACCACTAAAGTTTCAGAAGTGCTGTATCTTGTCGCTTGTCGCTCACCTCGTGAGGACTTGACCGGAACTCGATAATTTGGACCGCTAGGACAATCACCGCAAGGACTCCCACTGGTGTCGTCGGATTCTGAATCGCCACGGGCTGGAGCGCGGTTCGAACGAAAACGAGATTTCGGGACCTCACCTGCTAGACAAAAGAATTTCATTATTCCTCAAAAACTTGCAAAATTCTCCAAAACATTAATTCATTATTAATTTTATTTTTAATTAACTCGTCAAAACGGTTTTAATTTTACAACAGAAATTGAGTTATTGTGGGACGTTTTTATAGAAAAAAATAGCAGAATAACCACAAGGTGATATAAACAAAATTGTTAACCTTTGAAAGTATTTATTTCTGTTACAGGCTGTATTTGGTACAATGTGTAATTTGGAGCAAATTCTTGTATCGATATTATGCCTGAAAAATATTCTAATGACCATAAAAAATAACACACAATTCGCCTGTAACTTTTTGCTAGGACAAATTAACTTCAACTTTTTATTTCATTCTAGTATGTGTGCATGTTAACCTTGAATTTTGTGCTCTTATTTAGGCATGTAGTGGTATTTAAGCCTAGAATTAAATTTAATATACTTAATTTAATTATTCTAAAAAAATCAAAAGATATTAAATCGAAACCGGATTTTTGTATAAGTCCGATATCTTAAAAGTGAATTGATTTATTGTCTCAATATGCAAATTAGCTACTCAACAGGTAACAGACTATATGCACAAAAGAAAGTGCATTATACTCTTTTTGTAGCTTGTAATACCTATATACTAACCTTCATTACTATAAAAACGATGTTTATGCCAGCTGTGTTTCGTATTTGAATTTTTTGGATAAATGATAGCATTGTGATCTTCATCTTCAATATGTCCAAAAGTTTTGAACTGCATGGTATAATCTAACGTTGACGTTGTAACTGATCTACTGTTGTTCCCGGGTACACTAAAGGTAGCATAGGGGCTTATTTCATACATCCCTACAAATGATTAATTAACAATTAAACCAAATCCCAAATTGTGTCAACCTCCACCAGAAACATTGTCTTGAATTTTTTCAGCCGACTTAATTGGAGAAGATGTATAAACTTGTTGGCAGTTTCGTGTATTCTCTCGTTCAGCCGCTTTTTCATCAGTAATTTCTTCCTCTTGTTGAACATTTTCGTTTGTTTGTTTTTTCATTTTGGTCAGAACTAACCAGATTATACCCCCACAGATTAGTAAAATTACGACACAAATACACGGACCAATAATATAAGCTTCTTTGTAGTCGAATTCATTGGTCGATATTGTTCCTTCGGAAAAATTTGGCGGTAGCGGTATTTTACCTAGAGGCAATACAGAGTAGTTTTTAATTAGCCATTAGGATATGAAAAAATGTGGGTGGTTCCAAAGTTGTTTGCATTGGTCCAAGTCACTCCAAATAACGTCCTTGCCAAACGCTGCTTGGAAATGACCTTAACAGTAACTCTCATATATGTTAATAGACTAGGCGGTGCAGCGGCGCACTCAATAGCTTTCGCAAAAGGAACTATCAATACGTAATTGTTTACTACTAGTTTTCAGTTATTGGCCAACTTTTCTTTTTATTATCTCTAAGAGTAAAACTTTGCACGTATTTTATGTACGCCACTGCATCATGAATTGATATGTTGTTGGAAAGAGTGTTGCAGTTGCTATTGCTTTGGGTGTTATTTTACATAGAGATATTATAATTACAAAGTACTTTTTTCATATAATATCCTTTCGCCGTACCGAGTGTTATTGTTAATTGCGTCAATGGGTGCAATGGCTGTTTGTGTAACCAATCCATTTTATTTCCGATCAATTAAAATTATTTACCTCCGCCTAAGATAGTAGTTGCGCAATTGAAATGTCCGGTGATTTTTCCGGCATCATTTTTTGCAGTGATCTTCAGTTGATACCAAGTGGCAGGTGAGAGGTTTTGGATGAGAATTTTTTCATCCAGTATAGAATTTGAAATTAGATTCCATTTTTTTGTCCCATATATTCGATATTCTATGGAAAATTGCAAAATGGGACACCCACCATCAGGCCAATTATATAAATTCAACTGCAAAGTTGTTGTGTTCGTCGATATAAGTTCCTTCTCTTTTGGGAGAAGTGGAGGGCCTCCCTTAGTGTTGACTGTAAGAATTGGACTCGGACTTCCGTTTCCAACTCTATTGTGTGCTAGTAAATATATGTGGTAGATTGAACCGCATCGAAGGTTATCTAAGGTATATACACTGTGCTCCGGGGAAAGTTCCAACGAAGTCCAATCGTCCGTTTCATGTTTTGTATTCAGAGTATAACCTAGAATTGGTTCTAACAAACTTATTCAAACTATTTTACATCTAACAAACCTTGAATGATAGAACCACCATCTTCGGGCTGGGTCCAATGTAACCGAATACTTCGAGTAGTGCTAAATTGCACCTCTAAAGTCGGTGCGCTTGGAGGCATTAATACCATTAAAGTATAAGTAATGTTATCATCACCAAAAAGATTTTTCGCTGAGCAAGTATAGTTTCCTGACAGTGACTGATCTGCACCTTAGAGGAAAAGGAAAATATTGAATAATAAATTGAAAAACTTAAAGAAAAAATAATGCTATTTAAAAGTACTTTTTCTTCCTTGAATATCAAACTAGAAAATGGTTGTTTTTCTCTTTTAAACTGTTTGAATTGCACCGAGTGAGTAAAAAAAAAATTAGTGTTTATAATTTTACCTTTAATACGTTGCTAGAAGATGAATAACAAAAAAACAATATATTTTACATGTTATACTTGTAGTACAATGTTAAACCGTATCGATCCAACTTCGTGTTGTAAAGCGTGTCTATCGGTTTTTGGTTTTTACGACTTCAATTGGTATTTAACTTTGAATGCAAGGACACTTTTAATCTGCCACTATAAAAATCCTTTAAAGTCAAAAATGTGTAATTAAAGTATTTTTTCTATTTCGTTGTCACAATGAACATTGTGTGACACTGTTTTTTGGCGACATTTTATGCAATATTTTGGTCATCACTGGCCATAAACTGTCGTCTTTAAGTGAGAAATTGTTGCAGTTCAACATATTTCACCGAAACTAATGCAATTTAAGCTATTTTTGAGCAATTTGGGTACCGCATACGTCAGTGTCAAAACATTTAACTGTTAAATGTTAAATGTTAATAATCGGAGTTGGTCAATTCGACCACCAAATAAATTTAATCCTCTTACATACTCTTATAATAATAAATTCAATTCTATTTAAAAAGCGCTCACTAGAAAAAATATTATAAAAAACTCGTGTTACAACCTCTCATTGTGATAATCGTGCATTTGTAACACTCGCCACTGCGTGGCTCGTGTCACTACTCGTGTTACAATTAAAGTGTTTGTAACACACTTTTTTAATATACTATTTTCAACCTTCATGATGAGAAATGTGTTTAAATTAAGTAAATAAATTCAATATTATTACGACTGACTGTATTATACATAAAGTCGGATCTTTATTGTTTTTATTGACTAAACAAAATTTTATTTCAAATTATGACTACTGATTGTCGATTGGAAAATTTAATCTTAAAACCCAAAACCAAATAAAATCATACTTATATTTCTGCATCTTATTACCCACAGATAAGTATTATATTTTTTATAAACTCATCTAATAATCTTTGTAGGTTGACTTTTCGTTTCCATTAATTATTTTTGTTTTGTTTATGCCTACATGAAAGTCAATCAAATTACTATGTTTAATTGTTACCGTTTGACGGTTAGTGCTTGTCAAAAACCCGTCAATATATACACGTTTTCTTCATCATGTAATAAAAGCACTTTACTATTAAAAAGCATTTTTGAAATAAACGACTCTTTTAATGGAATATAAAATAACTCGTTATTGGTTGGGGAAGTTTTAATGAAATCAATACGCTAGATTGTGTTAACAACCATTAAAAAGTCAATCGAAACCGTTTAAAAAATCCATTTATGTACTTATTTAATTAATAATAATAATCCGTCGTAATTATCTAAATTGAGTTGTTAAATGTATAATTGTAAATGATCGTTCTTAGACTATAAGCGTAATCAAGTTAATTAACTGAATTTTTCTAAATGCTGAATGTTTTCCAGATGAGTTACCTATATTTTGCATGTCTTTCATCAAAATTAGTCATAGTAAACTTACTGTGAATATTCAGATGTCCCTCAGACGTGATTTCATAAAAAGAACTAAAAGTGATTGGTCTATCTCTGTGGATCCACCTAGTCCTAGGGGTGGGATTTCCGACAGCTAAACAGGGAAGCAAAATCTTGGATTTGATAGGTTTTCTGATTGTTTGACTAAAGGAAGCAATTCTAGAAGGAGCTCTTGAATTTGTAGCTTGAGCTACAATAGCAGTTGGTTCACCCTCCCCAATACTCGTGGTCGCCGACACCCAAAATTCGTAAAGTTGATGTTCGACCAAATTCCTTACTTCATACATTAATCCATTTATGTAAACCATGTTTTCCATTCGAACATTGTAACTTGTGTGTTTTCCTACGCGGCCAGCTTCACGCCCATAAACTGTGTAATGACTTATGCGACCGTTTGGTTTACTAGGTGGTAACCAAGAGACAAGAATTGATTCGCCTGTCAGTGCTGCAGCTTTTATATCTGCAGGAGGACCTGGAACTGCAACGGATTTTATTACAATAATATACCACTCTGGACAGTGGCGTACTAAAAACAGCAAAACACCAACAATAGAGACGCACGAGTTTTTGTATTAAATGAGTTAATGATGCATTGTTCTCGTATACAGTGCTTTCAATTCAAAACTGGACAGTCTCAATAACTTTGGATTTTGACCAAATAGGTATACCAATTTTCAAGTTTTGCTCGCGAAGGGGAAGTTAAAAACATTTTTGGTTCCATCCCCTTTCTAATTCTAATTTAAGGTTAATTAATTTAAATGGCCAAACAATGTCCACCGGTAAACAGCGACAAGAACACCTGTTTTGCGTAACGTAATTATGTTAATTTTACTAGGGATTATTTTATTGGTGGTTGTTTAACAGTATTTAATAAATATGGTTTTTATTGTTTAAATATTACGTTTGTTACGATTTCGCGGTGTACCTACTATTACCACACATGAAAATATTTTTTCTAAAAATATACTAGGTATTAGGAAAACATACCTAATTAATTTAATCATGTTGCGATAAGTACTTTTTAAATGATTGGGAAATACGAGTTTGCTGAAACTGAACAAGTTGTAGAATGTATGGTCGAGCACAGAATTTTTGACTTATTCAGGACCTGTATTAGGATTATTTTGGAGGTAGGTAAACATGCTAAAAGAGGTGACCGGGCCCAGAGGGGGCGTTAAAAAATTTCGTTTGATGCTTCTTCTCTAATACTCACAAAACGACGCCTGTAACGAAAAAATGGTTTTGTACCAACGAAAAGATTAAAAAAATCATACGGGATGGTCTTCTGGAGTTTTTTATATCTCAAATAGTCTTTGAGACATTCGCTAGCAAATACGCACTATCGGAATAAACTATGATATTAATGAATTAAGGCAAAGATTGTTGTAAAAGTTGTAAGTAAGCATTGTGATTGGATACTTTAAGGTCGGCCATTATAATAATGTAAAAAACCAATCACTTCAAATTTTTGGATTCATTCAAAAATTTAATGCAATGATGTGATTGGTCCGTTTGAGGTCGGCCATTTTTATAATGTGTGTAACCATGGAGAAACCAATCACTTTAAACTTTTAGTTTAATTCAAAAATTTTCTGAATTTAGTTAATTCGGATGTGCATTAATTCATAAGATGATTACAGTTTTTAATGAAAATGTTAGGTCTGTGCCTTTTATGTAGGTATATTGTGACGGAGAATTTGCAATTTGCGTTACGTTACGTTTAGTGATTAGTTATTTATAGGTACTCGTCTGGGAAATAAAATCTTAAAACTTAAAATAGGAAAATATTAGTGTTTTACCCATCCTGTGTGCTTATTATAAATAGATGCAAGATAAATAGGCGACGAGGATACGGAAGTGAAAATCTTCTTCAATTTTGAACATATTCGTACAAGAAGTGAAACGTAACCTCACTTTCTTCCTGTGTTGGCCCCAAAAACAGATAACGAAAAAACTCTTTTCTACGAGCTGCAGAGACCTAAATTATAATTTGAAGTTTACAACCAAAATTCTGTCACAAGCACTTTTTCTGTAAACTTTGGATTTATGGACTGTGCCGCAAATTGAAAAAAAAGGTCTGGGTTATTTGTTAGCGGATATCTCGAAAACTGTTAAGATACAAAAAAAACAAGATTGACTTGTAGGAAATGTTATAAGCGTTAATTTAGTACATAACCATTTTTTCTAGATATCAAGGTATCAAGAAACCAGAAAACGGCACCTTTTTAGTGCTCCCTTGCGTCCCGCTCACTTTTTATGTTTACCTCCTAACTAGTCCAAACACAGCCCTGAAGTCAAAAATTTTGTTCTACAACATTTTCTTGAACTTTCACTGACTGGAGGGCTATCAACTAGTGGTAATATTTCTATGAAAATAGTATTCATATTTGTAGTAGTATGTGAATGACTTAAATAATTGTTTATTAAAATACCCACAACATGTTTACTACTTAAAAGTAATAAATTTCTGTTCACAACAACAACTTTGTGTAACAAAAATATAAAAATGTTTTCATTTTGGATTTGCAAAAAACAAATACCAGAATGTTTATATAAAACATGTTGGTGCAAAAGTAAAGAAAACGCTGTTTTTAATCTATCAACTGTAGATTTGAGTGAAGGTAAAATAATCTAGGTAAATAAGTGTTTGTGCTGTTTGTTATTAATAATATTCTCATAGCAACTGAATATAATAATAATATTTAAGATATGTTAGGTGAAGTGGTCGGTTGAGAACAGAACCATAAAATGTGTTATCGATATTAATTACTAGCTCATTAAAAAAAAAAACAAAGTATTGTGCGGCTTTATATGTTTATTTCAAGGTGATTTCAACTACGAGTAAACTTAAAACGAATTCTGCATCAAAAAATTAATCAAATTTGCAAGATGGAATCGTTCCAATATTTATAATTAAAACACACCCTATATATTTTAATAAAGTATGCTAAACAATTTATTGGTGATTAAGTGTATGTTTAGTTACTCAATGATGTAAACAGACTAATTACTTAATTAGGCAATAATTGATTTAACTCGAAGTTTTGGAGTGAGATTCCTACGCCAGTCTTGTAATAATAATTAGGTGTAACAAAACAAAATAATATTCTTTGTATAGGGTCATGAACCAACCAACCAAATCAATTTTTCCAACATTACAACACTTAAATGTGTTGAAACAGTGAAAAAATTTCAGATGAGCATAGTGAGAATGTGGCATTGAGACTATTCTCATTACAACCAACATCCATACTGTGAACTAGGTATATTATACTATACTAAAACATTTCGACGAAGGTCTTATTTGGATGCATCTCCTTCAAAACTTTCCAAATATACTTTTTATAACTTTCATTTTTCCTTTGCTTCTTTTTGAAGTTTTGCTAATTCATATCAAGTTCACATAATGTTGAAAACTAGAACACGCTTACTTTCGTTTACTTGTGTTCGTTATTTAACTGAAACCAGTAATAAAAAGTGTCAGCAGGTTTTGTTCTGATAATTGTTGCATTACCTGAAATCGTGCAATACCAGTGTATATAGGGCGACCAAATATGCAAAATAATAACAATCTAAGTTTGTACTGCTTCGATCTGTTATTCATTTTCGTTGAAAACTTATACATAATGTATAAAACAGTTGCAAAGTAACTCAGTTACTATCTCTCTCCAATCACTTGAAAGGGTACACTGGTACACATTGTCAGTCCATTTCTGTTATTGTCTGCAAACGCAAATTGGCCATTGCGTAAATAAAGGGGGTCGAGACGGCCGGAGAGGTAAATCTCAATCGCATGACAGGTAGAGATTTATTAATGGAAAATAGGGGAGGAGTAAAATGTGCACAGAAAAACAACCTTTTCTCCATTTACTAATTTATGTAACATCAATCAACCCCGAAGTGATGATTAAATTTTCACACCACCAATAGCAACATGATTATTCAAATTTTGACTAATATATATATATATATATATATATATATATATATATGTATGTATCTATTATTGAAATTGATTTTTACAATATTTTCAGGCTTTGCAATTAATATCTGCATGTCGTACCTATTATTTATTCTTTAGATTCATCTAATCAAAGAAGGATTCCTTTATGGCCATTTTCAATGAACAATAAATCAAAAATTTATCTTGATTGAATACCAGAGGCTGCTCGTGTGTACGGACCATAAAGCGGAGCGATTTTCATATGTAGGCGCAGTGTTTAGCATATTGTTCAGGAGAATGTAATCGTTATCATTATCAAACGCGTGATGGTCGAAAAACAAGTGTCAATGACATATATTTTTCTCTTCTCCATTTTGAATTGGCATAGATTTGTAAATTTCATTTTTTACCTAGTTATTGATTAAAGTAAAAGTAACAAGTAACATACACCTTTTTGTAAAAAAATGTACAAAACCTATTTTGTGCAATTTATTTTTTGTTAATAGTAAAATAGAATGTAGACAGTATAGACTGGATTGACTCACCACACAACACATAATTAATGGTTTTATATAATAGGCCTCCACCTGAGGTTATCAAATCACATGGTCGATTAATAAAATAGTATTAGTAGTGTATTAGAACGCATATTTTTTATAAATCTAAATTTAATGTCACTTCCGTTAAAACCAGAAAAGTTGTTTAAGAAATTTTTTCTTGTAAAAGTTACATGTAATCAATATTAAATCACCAATTAAGCATTGTATTTTAGGTACTTCTTTATTTTATAGTAAAGCTAACGTAAACTGTGACTTGAGCGTTTTAACTCAGATGTTTCATACAATATTTTTGGTATGTTATAGTATGTCTTTCTTCTTTCCTTGTTTTTATTGTTTTCCTGCTCTTCAATTTAACATTTTTCTATGTTATTTTTTGTATTTGTTATGAATTTGACCGTGCAAATGAAACTAGAAGATAATTTCTTTTTAGGCCACAGTGTTATAAATATATCAGATGTTTTTTAAGTTTTTATGTATTTTTCATTCGGCACCTGAAATTGTTTGCGATTAAAAATTAAAATGGCCTGTCGTTAATGAATCCTAAATGAATCTGCATACGAACTTTTTAAATTTACATTTATTACATGAAAATGCATTCATATGGCTAAATATATAACAAGCAAATCCACTATATGTCACCCGTTGATACGACGCTAATGAAAGCTTTATTAATTATTAAATTTCATTTCACGAAAAGACCACCTCAAATAGAGGATCTAAAATAATATTGCCACTACACTGCTGTGGACTTTTTGTACTACTTGTATTTTATTTCGAATTGGTTTTTGTTTAACAATTGAAAACGTATAATAAACAGGCACTTAAAACTGCAGCTTTGGTTTATTTGTAAAGTAATGGACAACAGATCATATTTTATGTAATTAATCTAGGTTTGTTGTGTCCCCACAAATCGAATTTACGAGTACATCTATAACGAGCATCATGTGCATAATTTGTGAATTATTGAGAGAACCATCAATTTGAGTTATTTTAGGAGCGATAAAAAAATCTAAAATGATCTCAAAGCAATAATTCACTTATTGACTTAGTCACAAAGGACACGAAATTTGCATCAGCAGGGAGTGGGCAGATTAAGATGAAATCTCTTGTATGTAATTTGTTATCTCACTATTATATTGTTATTAGAAATTGCATCTTGAAAGAAAAAAACGCTAATATTCATAATCATCTTTATTATCTATTACTTGATAGTTAATAAATAAATGGTTTAAATATGGAAGCATTACCCCTCTACATCAAAATGTTTAAATCTTTTTAAAGCAGTAAATTGTCATAATGTTGATCTCTGTAATACATGAAAAAACTTGGCCGAGTTGTACTACTTTCCACTAGATGCCGACATAGGTTTTAAAGATAATCAATTTTGTGAATTAGCATAACGTAAAACTATTAAAACTATTTGCATGATGATGTAAAGTTTTTTTTTGTATAAAAGCGCATAATATTACGTTACTAAATAGGATTACTGAGATAAATGGGTACTTACGATCCTCCTCTGTGACGCAGTATAGAGGAGCGCTCATCATACCATCTCCAGCGCCGGTATAAGCTAGTACCTTAATGGAATAATTAGTATATTTAAAGAGAGTATGTAAATATGTTTCTGTACTGGAAGTCCTTTTAACTTCTCCAGTGGTGGGAATGTCGACTGCAATAGATGTAAAAACCAATAATATTTTTTATTGACTAACAATAAACGATCTTACCATTTTCGTTCGGAAGCGGCCTGTAATAAACTTTATATCCTTGGATGAGCCCCCCGTGTAGGGTTTGTGGAGGTGGTGCCCAGGATATTTTCATACTTTGCGAAGATATTTGTGAGCAAGCGATGTTTTGCGGTGATGCTTCCGGGACACCTTCTTTGGTGGTCCCAATGACTGTTGGGGAGGCGGGTCCTGTTGAAATACTGTTAAAGGCGCGGACGTTAATGTCGTAACGAGTAAACTTTCTCAATCCTGTTAATTGCAACTTTGTGGTAGCCCAGCCTTTAACCGTCAAGCTTTTAGTTTGGTTTGGGAGACCTCCGTGCTCATTCCAAGATACAATGTATCCTAATAGTTCTCCATTCCAACTCTCCCTAGGCGGAACGGCCCAAGTTAAAAACAGTTCGCCAGGTCCGACTGAATCAACGCGAACGTCTTTCGGTGCTTCAGACGGTTCCTCTTCTTGCGTTTTCACAATGACGGCTTCGGTGAATGCGCTTTGATCTATGCTGTTTACTGCAAGCAAGCGCATTGTATATACTCGAGCAGGAAGGAGGCCACCTATCACAGCAGTTTCTTGGGGATTAACATCCGAACTAAAACTAATAAATTAAACCTACGACTGAGAGGACAGATTTTTTTATCGTATTACTCTGGAAGTGTATTTGCTGGCAGTGTTAGATTTAAAGCAGTTGGCTGTTCCCAGTCTTGGTTAGGTCCTAGGATTTGGTATTGAACCAAGTAACCGATAACAGGACTATTGCCATCGAATGGACGTCTCCACGATAAGCGTACAGAACGGCTAGCTACTTCTATTACTTCTAACATACTGGGTGGATCTGGTCTTTCTTGAACGGCAAGATTAATGATGTGCTCGCTGCGGCCGAAGGTGTTTTCAGCCAAGCATTTATAAACTCCTGAATCTTCTCGATCCGTGCGTCCTATAGTGACTTGCGATTTTACCCCATTTTCCGTATTTGTACTGCTTGCTGTATATCTATTAACCCAGGGATATTCAAACATTGATAGTATCTACTTTTCAAACGAATACATACGACAAACGACAGGGACAGGACCGTAATCAACAGCGTTTGTCTTTGTGGATATAGAGAAATCCCAAATCGAACAGGTGAAAGCTCACCGATCATTTATAAAGGATTATATTTTCCTACCCCAATTACAGCTAAAGGAATATAAGTTACCTGAGAATCGTGAATTGACACAAAGATCCCTTCTACACTTTATGATCGTTAAAGTGGTAAAAACGTCGAATAACACAATGTAATCAAGATGTATTTTGTTTACACAATGTTTGTTTTTAATTTTTGATAAAAAATACTTTGGTTTGTCTGTGATTAATTCTGAAAATAGTTGCTTGGTTCCAAATCTTAAGAATAATGATATGACAAGTGCTTTAAAAAATTAAGTGTACTCGTGTACTCGATTCTGTCAACTTGAGTGCAATGTCAGCAAGGAATTTTGATATAGACAATATTACCTGTAATTGTTCGTGTCTAAACGATTTCCGTTAAAGGTCCAGAGAACTTCAATCGGAATGTCGCCATAAACATGACATAGCAGATTCGCCGCGTTGCCTCTCTTCACCGACACATTTTTAGCTGGCAGATCGAATCTTGCTGGTTCTGCAAATTGTCAATAAAACAGTAAACAGAAAGTCGGTAAGCAGAAATTACACACTATTTGTCGACGACTTAACACCTATAGAAAACGAATTAATCAAGGTGAATATTTTACCATTAACTCCGATGTAAATGACTTTCGTAAGCCCTGATCCTATGCCGTTAGTGGCTCTACATAAATAATATCCTTCGTCCTGGGGGCTTACAGATTCGATCCACATCGAACCATTTGCTAGCAATGTTGCACGACTGTGTATATTGAGCAGGGGTTGATAATCCGTTGATGTCTTTCCTGTACAACATTAAAACGTTGTTGTTAAATCTAGTAATACAGAGGTTTCATTTCATCGATTATTTGTCTTTGTGTTTTTTAATAAAAAGTTTAGTGTTTGTATAGTTACCTTGACCTTTAAGCCATGTTATTTGGGGTTCAGGAAACCCTTTTGCTGAACAACCTACTAGGACTGGATTTACGAGAAGGACTGATACGTCTTGTGGTTCAGTGACCCACTGGGGAGTAACTATTGGAATAAAAATAAAACGTTCAATGGTTAAAAAATGAATTTAAAGAGTATTGTTATATGGGTGAGAATATAGTAAATTGTACCTTTAACCATCAGCTGGGCAGTATAGTTGGCTCTCGCAGCTGAATTACTTGCGACGCAAGTGTAAGATCCACTATGCTTCGAGGACACTTCTTTAAATATTAGTATGCTGTAGAATTCGGCTGCACGTTCCTCCACCTGTAGGTACACAGCTGTGCTCATCGATCTTGATTTAGTGTAAGTTGGTAAGTTACCTGAAGAGCGGCTGATATATGTTCCCCGTCTTTATACCAGGCAAAGTGTATTGGCATGTCTCCGGAAGTCACAGAGCAAGTGACCTGTGCACGACCGCCTTCTTGAAGACTAGTAGGGAACCGAAACGGTTCTAAGATCGGTGGACTATTTACAATAAGTTGAATCTCTCTTCGAGCAACCTCCCCATCTCTACTGGTGACAAAACAGGCATAAAATCCCGAATCGGCGGTTGGATCCAGTCGCGATATCGTTAAAGATCCCTCTTCTCCTAAACGATGCCTCAAATCAAGAGGCAATTCTTGGCCGTGACGTTCCCAACGGACAGATCCAATTGGATAGCCCGAATATGGACAGTGTAAAGTTATATCCGCTCCAGCCACTGCTTTTACAGGACCAATAGATCGTATGAATGGAGGACCTGCACTAAATGTATTAAATGCTAGTCTTCTACAACGATGAATAAAACATACCGTATATATTGAGCCGAGCTGAGTGCTCTGTTGATCCTAGCGAATTTAAAGCTCGGCAGCTGTAAAGACCGCCATCTTCCACTCGTACATTTGAGATGTTTAGATGGCTAATCACATCCCCGTTTTGATCAACATACTGACTGATCGCGTACCTAACATAAAAAACTATTTTTAAAGCAATTAATGATCGTATTATTGCACAAAAATATTTAACTTTAGCACCAAAATAATACTTCTTTAAAATCTTTTATGAATTTATAAAAATTCAAGGCTCCCTGCTAGTTAGGTTTTGAAGTAGAAATGAAAAATGTCTTAAAGAATTTTATTTTTGTTTGTGATTGGCTCATAAAAGAAGGTAGATACGTACGAAAAATGACCTTACATGTGTTAACTTTGCTTAAGAGTTTATAATGTAAAAATCTAACAGTCATAAACTAATAATATACAGGAGCTGATTTCAAGAGTCAATGTTGTGTGCACTTCTTGATTTACAAATCAACTTAACTTGATTTACAATCAATAAACTTCTAAAACAGTTTCTATACATATAAACTGTTTTAGAAGTTTATAAACACGCTGTTTTAGTATTTTCTGATAAAAATGATTTTAATACTTACCGATGCCCTGAGGTTATATCAGAAAGTGGTTCGCCATCGAGAAACCACCGGAATTGGGGAGGTGGAGATCCAGTAGCGGAGCATCGAAGTGATACTTGTGGCCCGGGTCTCATCGCTTGCTCAATGAATGTATATTGTAATTCGGGTATGGTGTCTACGAAAATTGTAAGACCCAATTAATCCTCGATTTTGATGTTTTTTTCTTTATAAGTAAGTGAGATTTGTGGCAGTTTTTTTAGGTTTCCTATAACTTTTTTGAACACATATTTGTAAATTTGATAATAGTGATTGTTGTTTGAACTAAGGTTTTCACACGATTTTATTGTGTAGCTACACATACTTATCAAATTTACCATGGGTTTAACCAATTACAATAGTAAGTGATAAAAAACATACAAGAAAATTAAATTGTCAAAGTCAAAGCTCCACTAATGGCTCCGTCGCTATATTACAAAATCAATTATTAAATGCACTATATCCTATATGTTAATATCAGAAATTGCAGCTTTTGATAAAAATGGCAAGGGGTCAAATGAGAGGAGCATTAGTTTGTTTCATTGGTATTTTGTGTTGTGGCGATAATTGTTATTAATATAGCGCAACCGTTTGAGAAACTTCCGCTGCCTCAGCGATTTCAGCCGCCAGCTGCGCTTTCAGTTCATGAAAAACCGACCGGAAATGAGTTTTAACTTCCGTCAACAATATATCATTTAAAAACATACTTCCCCTTCTTACTCGTAAAATAATTTCATACTTGACTAAGAGCAGTTCACAAGCCACTGGAATTAAACTTTTTTGTCATTATATACAAAATTAAAGAAAATATCATTAAAAGTTAGCGGAAGATGATAAATCACTTCATTAAGCTAACTTTACCTAACTTCCGTAATGTTGTATTTCTTATTATGAGACGGCTCAGTGTATATTTTTAGAATCGGATTTATTGATGTTTGGTTTATGAAAACTGCTTCAATATCATTCGAAAAATTATCATTTGTTAAATAAAGCATACACTTCAAATTAAATCGCTCAAAGGATTGTGGTATCGGTTATACAACCAAGTGGGCTGGGAAATCGCTCAATGGACCGAATTAATGACTATAGGTATACAATAGCTAACAGTTCTATACAAACATTGTTGAGTTATCTATTTATTTTTAAATTCTGCCCAAGCTGCATTATATTAAACAATATAGAGTACAAATAACGAATACAATTAATTAGTAAATAACACGAAAAATTATGCATTTTGTTCTATGTATATATGCGTATAACCACAGGTTGCACCAGGTGACAAACTATTTGGTTATTAAGGGTTTTAAACCAAACCATAAAATATGTGAAAATAATCGCATCATGAATTCAATTTCTAATGTTTTCAGTTATCACCTCTGTAGTAGATACGATAAACTTTACATACTACTATACAGGTGCGCCAGAACTCGCGCCCCAGAGGAAAATGCCATATAAGGTAAGAACCAGGAACATGGAAAAAATGTTTTATTTTTCGAAGTAAACTTGACATTTTAATGAGAATTTTGTTTCTTGGCAATTTAACGAAAAAAACTGCTTCTGAAACATTTTTTCTGGTAGTTTTTTGATTTAAATTGCCTAAAGGAAACAAAACTCGAATTAAAAATGTCAAGTTTTCTTCGTAAAAAAAAAGCTTGAGTGTAATTCGGTACGACAATTTAATGAATACGTAAATCACTAAATTAACAAATAAGGTGTAAATTAGTTTATTTATTTAATGGAAAGTACAATTATTAAAAACACAATTCTCATAATCAATTTGATTTTCAGAACTTTCTTGTTTTTTGTTAATAGTTTGCTGCATGCTTGGATTTTGAGCGGTGGTAGTAACTGTTTTCTGGATGGTAGTACGAATGAACCCAATAATGTCTCTATGACGTTCTTGATCTAACTGAAGGTACGGTTTTAATGACGATGGATTGTTATGTCCCGTAATTTTTACAAGTTTTTGTTCACCTATACCACTCCTGGACAATTCAGTTACGGCGGCAGCTCGATTAGAAGGTTCCTAATTTTCACCCGCTTGACATCAAGTCCAATACTTTACTTACTTTTTTACTTTTCTGAAGATTTGGTCCATTTAGAGATTTCAGTTGTCAAATTGACGTACCTACTTGAATTCACAGTATTGCGAGGCACATTATTGTTGATGGCTTTTTCAATTTCTCCACTCGAAGATTCTCCAAAGCGCGACATTTTCACAGATTAGATACTGAAAACGCAAGTTTGAGAAAAATTTGTTTGCAATTTTTTTTTGGTTGTCTAGGGACCGATGATGCAGACCTACTAAATTCAGACGCTTTCAAAAGCTAGGTTCCGTTTTGTCGCTGTAATAGTTAGGGCAAACTTTTGTCGCTGGCATAGTGACAAAAACACCGCGGCTTATGGGATTTTTAGAGTATGAAAAAAATTGTCTATAAAAAAATCGAAGTTATGAGGGTTTAAATTTTGCACTTTGACTCTATTTATTTCTATTGGAAAAATAATTTTATAAGTTTTTTTGCAACAGGCTATTAGAAGAGCAAACAAGGAAGCTGTATCCTAAATTGTAACTCTGTTTGATGTTATTTGTGGCTTTTATTGGCACCTTTACTAAACAATCAAAAAAAAACATATACAAGATCATCAGTAATATTAAATAGACATAAATGTCATAAAAAAAATGTCAAAACTTTTTGACAGATAGAATTTTTTCCATGTTCCTGGTATCTTACCTTACTTCTCTGGGGCGCGAGTTCTGGCGCACCCTGTATCACAATGTGATGAGAGCTTTTAGGATCAAAGTGTAAAAAACAATTAACACTTGTTCCTTTTTAACAGTATGCTATGTTTTATTTTAATTTTCGATAATGGCTTTTTCTTAATGTTTTGTTCTCTTTTATGCCATTTAACGTCGTTTTAACACCAAAACTACTCCTCGTCTTTGTTGTGACACTGACAAATGTACTTTACGCTTGTTGAATGTGGGAAAGGAAACTGGAAGCAGTTGGATTGTTATCAGTAGTTTCTTTACGGCTGCTTTTCATCGGCCTTAAGAGAAATATTGTTATGTATGGTAGGACATTCCGAAATTTAACAAAACGTATATTTTAAACATGATAAATTTGAAAAGAAACAGATATGTTGACAATTTTTTAGTGCAGTTTTTAGTTTCTAATTATTCTTGCAAAATATTTTCCTTCAAAAGGAAATAATCTGTCTGTAGTGTATACCGATATACTTCGGAAGTAGGCTACGTAAAATCATAACAACCGACAAAAAGGTGCTTTTAAAAAGGTGCTTTTTAAAGCTTCAAAAATATTATAACATCTAAGATCTCTATTTAAAATCATCTTCTTTACAAAAAAATTAAAATTACAAAAATGGTTTACAATACACAGTACTATATTATTAAATTAATAAAATACCTTCTTTGAAGAGTTCCATTTAAAAATATCAAGTTTTTAGATTATTGACACCGAAAAATCTATCAAACTATTGGTATGAATATTAAGTGCATTTTGTAGTGTTTCTGAAAAAAAACTGCAATGTTACTTCGTCTGGCTGAACTAATAAATATCGAAAGATAAAAGTATTGTCACAGATTAAAATTTATGATGCATGTAAGAGTAATTTGTTAGCTGTTAAATAAAGTGCGATAAACGTTTTAAATCTAATGTACATTATTTAATGTCTACCTCCTAGCCGAAGTTCGGCGCTGCCTTGAGCACTCTCTCGATCATTCCTGACAACACATTGATACATTCCCCTGTCATGTCGTGTTACCCCGTACACAGCTAAAACCAGTGGACTTAATAGCTTAACTTTTCTATTTCCATCGGTTAGTAGCGGTTCTCCGTTTCTAAACCACAGAATGCGTCCCACGGGTGATCCGGAAACAGTGCAATTGAATATAGCACTCTCTCCGGAGTTTATCACCTAAGAATTTCGTTATGCTTATATCGCACATCAATGAAATTCCATAAAATAAAAATACCTGTAGCTGTGGAAGGACATGAACGCTTAAATGAGCAGTGACGGTAAGATGAATATCTAATCTTTGTTCTCCAAAGTTATTAGATACTTTACACGTCCATCTGCCAGCATCTTCGGATTTTAGACGTCTAATGTGAAGGATGTCTTGTGAGGGTTCGAAACGGGCTGACGAATGTACGGGTTGTAGGTGGCTTTCTATTTCCCGAAACCAGCTAAAGGGATGGGATTTATGACATATTTTTGACACGTTATTGACATTAATGCGAGACTCACACCATTAATACGGTTCGCACACTCAGTAAACCTCTAGTAATTGAATACCTACGAGATGAATCCTATACGTGTTTACTTAACAACACATCCATAATGAAATTGATTTAGGAGCTTAATAGAATGTTTACACGGGAATCTTACTTGAATGTTGGCGGTGGATTTCCCTGCGCTGAACATGTTAAATGAATATCAGTCTCACGATCCGCTGAAACTACTGTTTGAACGGTAGGGGCCAGTCGAGGTGACATACTTCGAGTGGGTTCTGGAAACATTTTTCACAATTTTATTTAAACTATTTCAACATTGTACTAACACTTAAAAACATTTAAATATTTTAATATATTTAAGTTTAGCCCGGACATCAATACACTAATTCTAATAAACTAGTTAAACGTAATTGTCAAGAACTGAATACTGGAAAAAAGAAGAAAAATACTATCACTTTTAATAAAAAACACAATTGCACACAGTACGAAATACAGAACTAAATGTAAAAAATAATGTTTAGTCACACATACCTTCTACATGTATTGATTACGAGACATATTTTCAATTTTAGTTCAATTTAATCAATTTTAGTTTAGTCATAAGACTTTACGTTCAACATATTTTCAGACTTGTTCATAAGTGAAGACAAAACTCTCAATAAGTATTTGCTTGTTATACTGAGGTATTTTTGAAGTCAACACTGTTTGTGATACTATTAGTTCCGATATAATTTTCATAAACAAACCACTATCGATACTAAATAAAGTTCTAACTAAATTAAACAAGTACACAAGATGAGAAACAGCGTCTTTAAAAAGTAAAAAAATGTATTACAAAGATCAGCAATTACATTTTTACATTTGACAGAAAAAGTTACATGAGAATTGACTGCATTAATGATGTAATCTAATCCCATAATCTCCAGCTTCAAGTGAAAAATATTTATAATTTGACAGATGATATGTATTGGATGTCATTGATTTCTACCAAAAAAATCGTATGCAGAGTTTGCGTTATTTAATTAATTACGCGGATTCAATTTAATCCACAAATCCTTCACAAAAGGATATTTTTAATTAAAAAAAGGAATAGCAAACAATGAAATATCGATTCCAAGTATAAGTCACTTTCAATGTTTGCGTTTCCAATTATACTGGAATTCTAGTCTTTTAAAGGGTATTTAATACATATATTTTCTTAATGATTCTTGTAACACGTTTGTAATAATTCTTTAAATTTGCATTTTTTTTTTCTTAAGATTCATAAAGGAAGTGTACGAATGAAACAACTTAGTTACTAAATCACCAGTATAATTTATTTTATTTAAACTATGTACAATTATAATTTCAGTTTTAAGCTAGAATTTGAGTTAGTTGCATGTATTTTATTTAGACATTTGATTTTTTAAATAAATACAGCCAAGAAAAGTAAAATAATTATGTACTTATACCTTATTACTTATAGCCTGACGCCAAATAATAAATAAACATTTTTCTATTATCATTATATGTTACAGCATTACATACCAAACGAATATAGTTTTACGCATCGTTAAAATATCTTTTTCAAAAGGTAGTATTTTGGTTAGTCTGTAGATGAAAAATTTATATTCATTCCATGGGTGAACTAAAATGTTTTCGTTTCAATTTATATAGGTATACACATAGGCATATCGGTTACAGTAGACTGTTAGGACATTATGATGATATGTGAAAATAGCAAAGTACCAGTAAAAAACATCGTTCAGAAAAAGAAACGTATAAATGGAATTTGACGTTCAAGCACAAATTTATATAAAAGTATAACCTGTAACAGTTAAAATGGCAGGGGCACTTCTTTTTCGTTCTTGTGTCAATATGTGAAGTGTTAGGCACGAATATCTTGCAAGGCCATCTTCGGCCCTTGCGGAACGTATGTGAAGTTCACCTGTTCCATAGGTGACGACGATTCGTCCACCTGAAACAAAAAAAATGCTAAAAAAAAACGAAAAAATTACATTTAAAAAATTAGTAGCAGACAAATTGTGATTTAATGTTTATTAACATTTGGTATTATAAAATATCATTTATTATCAGACTAGGTTCAAACGTAACAACATATATGTTGTCAAGACGTGGTTGTCGAGCAAATATTTTTTTAATTTTTAATTTTTTATTGTTTTGCGGTTTATTACCTTTTCAGAAAAACTGTTTTAGCTGGTGTGATTTTGAAATAATAGGTAACTTGCTAGGAGTTTATTCGCAATGACTCAGAGATGCTTACGTTCAGTACAGTAATAAGTTGTATTTCTTTCTGATTCATGAGTTATGTTATGAAAAAGTTTATAGAAGATTTTTTAGTTCTATATGTCATGATAAAACACCCTGTAATACTTTGCCTATTATTTCAAAACCAGCCTGTACATATTAAGAGGATTTAATATACCTACTTGTATGCTTTTTGGTTATTTCATTTTTTCCTTTGCTACTTACACTAAAGACGATGCTGATGAATCTTGCTGTTGTTATTGCATGATTCTAATCGAAAACTAGAAGGAACGTCTGATAAGCATCTCCAGTCTATCGTAGGACAGACATATACACGCATCCACAAACAAAAATTGTGTGCGTTTTATTCTCGCTTTAACGTCTCAAAGAGAGTAAGTAAAGTATTAGGTTTTAAGGTAGAAAGGAGCTTTCTTCTCTACGTACTTATAGTATAAATGCAATTTTAACAGTTTTGAAATATGAATGTGAAATTCTGAATGTTGATTGATAATGTTAATATCATAATATCAAAAGATCAATCATTATAAGAGCAACCTAATAAACTACAAAAAATAATTATTATGCTACATTTTATATTAGTGTTATTACTCATTAGTTTATGATAATTAGCAATAACGTGAAAATTGTTAGCTGTTGTAAGTTCGAAGAATAATGATTTTTTAATAATGAATATATCAGCGTTATGTGAATTCGTCCGGTTGAGTAATCGTCTTGTAAATGGTGTGTGTTGGCGTAAATATCAACAGAAAGAAACGGAGTTGTATATGGGGAGAACTTCATTATTGAACAAAAATGTAAGTTACAGTATCCCGCTGAGAAATTTAAGTCATTTTAGCACATCCCATCCGATCCTTTTTGTTTTATTGCATAACGCCGAGACCGCCACGACTTCGTATTCAATTTAAGTTTCTTTCTCGAAAGTCGAATCCAAGGCTTTCTTCAGAGTGGCAACACAATATAACTAAGTTTTCCTGAGGATATCGTGAAAAGAGAAAGTGAGAATAGTGTCAAAGATGAAGTCCTAAACATTGTCATAATTTGATAAACTATCCGTTATTTATGCTCATTACACTGTAAAATCGCTGACATAGATGAAATTTGGTGGTAAAAGCGTGAACTTTCCTCCGGAATAAAAATGATAGTAGGAACTATTGTGTGAAGGAAATAATCAATTTACAGATCGTGGCTCCCAAGTCAAATCTAGCGAGCATTGTGCCGGGATACGCTTGCTTTATCCGAGCCTCAGCACGAACATTTATCAATTGTGTCTTAATTCTATTCTTTTCTATTGACCACATACACCGAACCAAAACCGCTCACCAAAATTACAACAGTTCTTTTAAAGCTAAGTATTTCCACGCTCATTAACAACAGCGCGAACACCAGGTTTAGAAAACATTTTAGGAAGGAGAGGTTGCAGAAGCAATTGACGGTTAATCTCTTTAGGATAAGCCACTTTACTGATCTGAAGCAGATCTATTTACCGTTGCGTTAAACGTCCCGCATCAATAAATTCACGGGGCGAACCCGGAAATCTAATCTACGCGAAACTCTATCGAGAATCATTAATTAGTTAATTACATACTCACCCATGTTTGACCCAGGCAGAAGGATTGATTCGTCTCTTGACCACGATGTTACACTCACGTGTTCTTTAACGAATGCGGGAATTACACAGCCTAATACAGCAGTATTGCCAGCTGATACATGAGTGTGGTACACCTGCACCTCGTAATGCTGATTCACCACTGGAAAAAAAAACAAATTTTTGCTATTTTGCCATTTTATCAATACAAATAATCAAAAAAAAAAAACAAAATGTAAAATTCTGAAAGCTTTTTTAATTTTATTTACAAATACTGTTATAATAGCACTAATTAATTGTTTAAAATTTTAATATTAACCTAGTAATATTTTTTTTCGTTGAATCAACTTATTTTTGTAAAAATTTTACTTTGTATATACACCATATATTGAACTAAAAAAATGCTTAAAACATTTAAAATAAACATAGTCATATTAATTAATCTAATAAACACCGTTCTTGTACACATTTTATTAATAAAAACTCTCATATTAGCAGTGAGATATTAAATTAAACACCATAAAATAATTTTGCGTTTTATAAACATAATTAAAGAGCATATTTGGAACAAAAAAAAATACAAGGATGTATGTAATTTTATGGAAAAAAAGCGGTTCTGTAAAATTAAGCCATTTTAATTTTTGGGACATAGATAGTTTTAATTAAGTTAAAACACATAAACTCGTCTATTTAGGTTATCAGTAGAGGATTTACTTATAATATCGTGAACGTGTATATGTTTTCCAATATTTATTTACAATTTTCGGTGCTACACAAAGTCGTTACAAGAAGATTGGTTTAGTTAGAAAATGTGCTGATGAACTGATACAAAAAATTGTTTTGCATTTACCGTTATGAGAATTGCCATAATATCTTCGTAGCATGATTAGAAGTTTGACTGCAAATTTGCAATATATGTATTGTCATGTTTTGGAGAATAACGACTTTACTTTATTGAGCAAACAAGTTAAAAGAAAACGGGTTTAAAAGTTTTATACCAAAGAGAACAAAATGTGTAAGTAGTGGCTTAGACTCTTCTTATTTGCTATTTCATTTCTACATAAGAAAGTAGTAAGAGCTTTGTCTATATTTTATTTGATTTAAATATGTATTGGAAAAAAGGCACAAAGCATTATCAAACTATACAGGGCTGTTCCGTTTTTATTGTTACAAATTTAAACAGGTGATAAAATATTCAATTCTAAGACAAAAGTTTCCTATAAACATGTATCGAAAAATGCTTGGTAAGGGAGCTACACCCCCTGGAAGGGGGCTAATATGTTTTTGCTAATATTTCAGAATCCATTTAAGATAAAATTACAAAATTAATCTTTATACACCTAAACGAATTGAAACATCAAATGTCGAAATTTTTAATCAGGGGCGCACGAAACTGGGGGAGTTTAAGGTAAAAAAATACCCTATTTATTTTGGCTTTAGTTTCTCGGTACTTTCAGCAACAAAATCTTAAGTTCGATAGTTTATCACAGAAAAGTCTCTCTTGTGTCGACATACGACCTATTGTTTTTGAATAAAATTAATTTAAAATTTATGTTACACACCAATACAACATTCAAATAAATCAGAATTTACAGAATAATATAAGCAAGAAATTCATATTTTTTAATCAACCTCAACTAATTAACATTACATTGCAGTAACAATAATAACATTAATTAAATGAATTTGCCTAAATCTAAAGGAGTTGTTCAAAGTGACCACCATTTTGGTCAATGCATAATTAAAGAAACTAGAGCCGACATAGATAGGGTATTTTTTTACCCTAAACCCCACCAGTTTCGGACGCCCCTGATTAGAAATTTCGACAATTGATGTTTGAATTCGTTTATGTGTATAAAGATTATCATCTGTACCAAATTTTGTAATTTTATCTTAAATGGTTTCTGAAATATTAGCAAAAACCTATTAGCCCCCTTTCAGGGGGTGTAGCTCCCTTACCAAGCATTTTTCGATACATGTTTATAGGAAACTTTTGTTTTAGAGTTGAATATCCTATCACCTATTTAAATTTGTAACAATAAAAACGGAACATCCTGTATGAGTATAAGCTGATGATTTTCCATATTCTATGCTATATTTCTCGAAAAGGACAAAAGCTTTTTCTTATAAACAGGCCTATATTAATAACTGCATTATTGCAGTCGTCAAAGAACTAAAACATTTTTGTAGTGCAATTGGTTTCAACTTAATTTGAGAGAAAAACAGTTAATATACATATATATTTATTTCTCACAATGTATTCATACTGAAATATTATAGTTGTTAATTTTTCAATTTTCATCGTACTTGAAACGCAATGAAAACAAGAACTAACTTCATCCGTAGTATGTGTATGTAAATTTTAAGCGCAAAAATAAATGTTGTGAATAAAAAACTGCCCCATTTTCAATCAGAATTTAATCCGAATGATTTTTATGCGGCTTTAGGCAGTATTCTACTAGTGTTCTGCAAAACCCAACGGCTGTTTTTTGAAGCTACAAGACTCTCTATGAGAGCCAGTGTCGTTAGTGCAAATATTTATCTATGTATATTGATTCCAGTTATAAAATTGTCATATTTCAATTCTTTTGAGTGTTTTTAAAAACTAAGTAGGTATGCATTTTTTGAAAAATTATTTAATTTTATTGGACATTACTGTTCATTGTTACAAGGCATTTGTTTGCATTTCACAGGATTTAAGCAGAATCAGATTTTCATGCTTTAGCTGTACTACGTTGGGAAAAGTTGTAATGACACTGTGGAAATCGCATTTAGGGCTTATTTACTTGTCTCTACAACTATAAGAGCATTCATATAAGAGAGTTTATTTCTCAATGTTTTGATTTATTGAAAGGTAAAATACACCAATGCTAACTTATACTAATTGCTATATTAAAAACAAAACTAGGTACTGTTTATGTTTTTTTTATACATAAAAAATAGATACTTTACAAACAACGCTAATTTTTCATGCATAAACGATAAATACTTTTGGTAACGGTAACTTTTACTATCGCTGATTTTTTTATAACAATATTTTTTAAAATTTTTATATGATATAATAATTAACTAACAGTCGCAGACTGCCATAATGGCATTTGAACAATTTCTCTACTCGCTTATATAAGATTTACTGGTATTACTAACATTTTATCGGTAAAATCTTCCTATACTAAATAAAAGGTAATGTTATTTATTTTCACACAAATGCATTTTAAACTGGGTTAATTAATTCCTATTGTAAATTTTCATAAATTTTTTGTCTCCTTATAATGTTATATTTACCCAGTCTTAGTGGGGAAAGATTATGAGGTGAGAGGACATAATTCACCACACTTTTAATGAGTTCTTTCTTGATTATGTATCTCGTCCTCGCAATCAGTATCGCCGTTTAAGGCAACAATGCCTTCATAATTTCTGTTCTGATGTTTCATCTTCTACAATATTTCGGTGGGAATGAAAAATGTTGAATGCTCGCAATTTCTTGCGACGGTTCTAGGCAATTGCTATTTTATTTAAATAAATAAATATTTGATGACGTGAAGATTACGTCTGGCAAAAATTACTCGGAGTCTCGTAAAATCGACAGCGTGGTGCTACATTCTCCCGTCAAATTACCGGATCGATGGCATAGAGGAATACATACACACGAGCCGTCTGTTTCAATCGGAGCTTCATCAATCTCTTTGGCGATCTAGCGCCCGGGAAGGCCTTCATTCGAACCCATTCAAACATGAATTTCGCACATTTGTTTCGTTGCAGTGTAGGTTGATCCTCCCAGTAGACACCACGGTCTGGTTGAGTAACATCAAAGGGCCTAACCATACACCAATACCGCTTGATTATAATAAAAAATCGGGATGCACCGCTTTCTTTTTTGCCAAAGGCCTTTGAGTTCGTTGCAATTTTCTTATTGATCGATTACCGTTGAAAACATCCATTTTGAAGTTTTGTCGGTTTGATCTGACAAATATTAAAGTGTTTGTGTCTCGGGCTCGGGTGGTACAAAGGCATGGCAAAATTCTCATTGTTATTATGCAAAATCGTTTGGCGTGTGTATTGGCCAACAATTACTGCTTCCAGCTTTGTGTACCTATTCCACCCTCCAGTGATGGCATTGCCTCTGTAAATCGATACCAATCCATTTTCAAATAATGGCCGTTCGTAAGTGTAAATCAAAGCCAGATATATTCGAGGATTCGCTTCAAACACGCAGTTGTCCGATGCTGGGTAAACAACCCTCCCAACACCCTAAATAATTAAAATGAATGCACACTTTTTTATTCAGCTTAAAGAACGTAAAGATCCTATTAAATTATAAATGGATGTTATGTAGGGTAGACAATTGCTTACGAAAGGATGTCTCGCGTCGCTGCGGCTATAAACACTCGTAACTCAATATTTTATGCATGCTGACGCACACGTAGATGTCGGAACGAGTATTCATTGTTTTGTATTAGGGAATGAGAAAGCAGGGATTTGGCTCAAAATATCACTTTGAAAATATAACGGACCTTTTTATAAACATCATTTCATTTATCTCTTTGGTGTGAAATTCGTCCAAGGCGTTCAAGGTATCGTCAACGCGATACAATGCAATCAAGCCTTGAGCAATGACCTGAAACTTTGAGACAGAAAAATTCGAGAGTTCATCAAGATCAAGCACAGGATGTATGCTTTACTATATCAATAGTTCAATCAATGGCACAGCTGGAAAAGCGTTAATTTTAGGATTATTCACCAAATTGCGGTGTCAAATTAAATATCTTTAGTTTCTTACACAAAACACTCAAAGATTGTAAGCTTCACATACGAACAGTCTAAATGCTTTTGTAAGGTTTTCAAAAAATTGATGTATAATCTTTAATGTATATTTTAGTCCATTTTCTTTTTTAAAAAAGAATTTTTTTTATTTCTTCTTCTCATTTTAGTCCTGGTATCACTCACATGGTGCTGTTATTACTCTTTTAGCAGTATAGATAATTTTTCTGTTATTCACAATATAATTTTGGTCAATAGTTCAATCAATGACACAGCTGGAAAAGCGTTAATTTTAAGATTATTCACCAAATTGAGGTGTCAAATTAAATATCTTTAATTTCTCACACAAAACACCCAAAGATTCTAAGCTTCACATACGAACAGTCTAAATGCTTTTGTAAG